AATATTGAAAAGTACCGGCCCTAAAATGGAGCCTTGAGGGACCCCACTGGTGACCGCCCGCCAGCCTGACGCAGCCCCATTCACCATAACCCTTTGGGCCCTGCCCGTTAGCCAATTGCTCACCCATCGTATGATGTTTTTATTTAGCTGTATGGTGGACATTTTGTCCAGCAGGATCCTATGGGAAACCGTGTCAAAAGCCTTGCTGAAGTCCAAAAAAAATCACATCAGCTGGTTTCCCTTGGTCCACCATACGGGTGATCTTATCATAAAAGGAAATCAGGTTAGTTAGGCAGGACCTACCCTTCACAAACCCATGCTGGCTGGGACCAATGACTGCTTTGTCCCCCAGGTGCGCCTCAATACGTTCGAGAACCATCTTCTCCATGATTTTACCAGGCACTGATGTGAGACTGACAGGCCTGTAATTGCTAGGGTCTTCTTTCTGACCCTTCTTGAAAATCGGCACAACATTTGCCAGCTTCCAGTCTACCGGGACCTCTCCAGACTCCCAGGATCGTTGAAAAATAATTGAGAGAGGTTCCGCGATGACGTCCGCCAGCTCCTTCAGCACCCGGGGATGAATCCCATCCGGACCCATGGACTTGTAGGGATCCAGGTGGAGTAGCAAATCCCGCACACGTTCAGGGTCCGTTGGGAGTTTGTCATCCCCACCGTCCCGGTCCTCCAGCTCAGGGCACCCTGGGTCCCGAAGCCCATCATCGGCATTGAAGACAGAGGCAAAGAAGGCGTTAAGCGTCTCTGCTTTGCCTATGTCATCGTCTGTGAGGAGACCTTCCCTATCAAGGAGCGGCCCTATGCATTCTTTGGTTCTCCTTTTTCCATTCACATATCTAAAAAAACCCTTTTTATTTTCTCTCACAGACACAGCCAGCTTCAACTCTAGGTGTGCTTTAGCCACACAAATTTTCTTCCTACAAACACGAACAGCATCCCTGTATTCTTTCCATGTCACCTGGCCCTCCTTCCAGTAGCGAAACACTCTCTGTTTCCGCCTAATCTCCATAAGAATGTTCCTGGTCAGCCACGCCGGCCTCCTGCCGCGCCTGCCTGACTTGCAATATTTAGGAATTGCCTGATCTTGTGCTTCTAGGAGGCATCGCTTAAAGAATGACCAGCACTGGTGGACATCAAGGCCTTCAAGAGCAGCTTCCCAGGGGACCTTGCTGACTAGTTCCCAGAGCAGCCTGAAGTCCGCCTTCCCCACAGTTGTAACAATAGTTGTAACTATTGGTGAGACTGTGTGCAATGCCATTCCCCTCTCCTCCTAGCTTTTACTGCCCAGTAACACCCATTCCCAGATGGTATGGAATTTAAGTTTCTACACTTTATGAGAATGTGAAAGTATTCCAGAAAGATTATGAAAAATTCATAATTTTATATAGCAGCCTCTCTATATATCAGCTATTTTTTTTTCTCTTGGTAGTTCTCTATCTTGGTTTCTGGAAGTTTAGCAACAGCAAAGTATGTTTTATCCCTTGAATCTAACCTATCACTAAATCATATTTAAAAACCCTGTATCGGCACTTCAAAAACACCCACACCTTCCAGGTGGTCTGACGGAACAATTCCTCGGAGGAATCTTTCTATTGTCAAACAAATCACTAAGCATAGTTAAAGGTTCACTGGAAAAAGACAGCCATGTACTTTCCAGTGATAACTGAACTAAGTTTTCCTCTTGACAAAACAGGCAATGTAATTGCTCTCTGTTCCATAAAGGAAGACTGACAGTCTTGTTTTAATTCTCCCAACTACCAGTAGCTGATCGGATATCTCTGACAGCAGGGTGGAACGCTTCAACTGCTTTTTACCTTGAATATGGAGTAACTTAAAAGGTGAAGATTTCTCATGGACTACAACAGGAACCAGCACCTCAAGGGCAAGCTGGAACACAATGCTCCTAGACAATGGACTTCCCCCAACAGCACACAGGCTTTTCCCCTTTTGGCTCACATATACTTGGAAAATCAGTTTGGGTTTCAATGCTACAAGTGTATTCCTCCTGCCCCAATAATTCGTCTCAAATTGAAGTATACATATAAAACAAAATCAGTAACATGAGATCCTTTGTGTGGGAAGATAGCAACTTCAAATAATAAATTCAGGCTATTTTATTTCATTCGCCTTAGAGAGCTATGCTTTCAAAGAACAGCATAATGTCCTACAAAGTCCCTGTAAAACAATATTTCAGCTCTGTTTTTAAGTAAATCTACTGTGCTCATTTTACAGAGGCACTGCTTCACAATAATTTTGTTCAGCAACCACTAAGAGATACTACAAAAAAAAAAAAAAAAAAAAAGCTGGCCTTGCAGTTGGTTTGCTGAGCTGAACAATTACTTTGATGTAGACATTAGAAAAGAAAAATTAGAAGGTTTAAGAGAAGAGGGGAGGGAACCTGCCACAGATGATACTGTAAATAAAAAAAATTATGAAAAAAATCCAAGATGTACATAACACTTTCTCAAACAGTGCAAGCACATAGCTCACAGTTCAAACAGCTGAATTTAATCAGACTGGGGGGCAAGAAGGAAAGTCTATTTTGTAAGGTTAGGCTGCACCCATCTACCACTCAGCAAATGAGAACTACCTACATAGGGGTCATAAATGTGAAAAAGTAACCATTGAATCAAAATGAACATTAAGATGTTTAAACATAGTTTAGATTGAACAGAGATTCCTGTTTTCTAGATATATAATATAAAAAAAAAATTATACAGATCTGCATTAATACTCCTTAATGTTGTGCAAACCACAATTGACAGATTAGTCTCCAAATGCTTTCCTCCTTCCCTGCTACATACCACTTCTCTCCCCACCCTCCCCGCCCCCCCGGTTGAAATAGAAAGAGTCATCAGAAGACAACATGGTAGAATATTTTTTCTCATAGGCACTACAAGGGATGATTTTAAAAGTGATAAAATAGCAAAACATGAAAGCATTTGCTTCTTCCTGTACAAATCAAAACTCAACTTTCATCTGAAAGATTTGCAATGCATTGCTTAGTATACTAACTGTAGTGTATCAATGACTATGTATAATATGATAATCTTCATTTTTATTCAGTCTCAGGAGGAAAAAAATACATGCAGTATATTTGCTATAAAACAGATGGACCATTTTTGTTCAGCTCCCAACTTAATGACTACATCTATTTTTAAATGTTAATGTTTAAATTAGATTGCCCTATGTTCTTTGGATTTATTTTTTGTTTGTTTCACAGTTATTTTGGGAAATACTAGTACCTTCTTAACATTTAGTAAGAATGCCGAGTAGAGCTGTTTTCTAGGAGTAAATCTTGTCATCTGCTATAACAAGCAATGGGAATACATTTCAAAAAATAAATGTATCCGAAGCAAAGCATTGCCCTTATGCAGATACCAGAGCTTTGAGACAAATGCTACAAATGTTATTGCTTCTCCTGACATGGTCAATGGAATGTAAAAATGCAGCTCCATTCCCAAATAACATTCATTAGCTTGTAGACCCAGACAATCCAGTATATTCTCAAACCAAAAAAAAAAAAAAAGAAAAAAAAAAAAGAAAAAGAAAAAAGAAAAACTGTGTTACTCTGCATAACTTAATTATGACTGCTGACTGGTTCAGTGGCTGCCTTTAATACAGCCAACACTCTGTAAGACAGCCCAAAGAGCAGCACACACATCTCCTATCCATTCTATGGGCAAGCATTGGGCTTCAGCTACAAGCACACTGAGCGTGCAAATTTCCTGTCAATAGGGTCATTCATACCAGTATATGTTTACTTAGAAGAATACTAAATGCACCACATGGAAATAATTAAGCAAGTCAACAATACAGACTATCAGTGTAGATAAGTTGAACATACTGAGAACAGCAGATACACTGGCACAGATCTCCCAGTTATTACTCCCACTGATACACTGAAAAACAAACCAAAGGCTGCAAATTATTTAGCTTTCAAAAAGTGTGGTCATTAGTTGAACCTCAGCTGGACTTGGACCTGTTTTTTTTTTTTTGTTTTTTTACGTGTGTGACCATGCTTGCATAGCCTTCAGTAATTATTTACATTTCAAGCAACCTAACTGTAAGCAAACCTCATTCTGGAAGCCATGGTACTGCTGGTATAGCATTGTAATCCCAAAAAGGGATTTAGTGACTTAGCTTGAGTGCTGCTGGCAGTTATTGAGCAAGGAAGATCACACTCTTTGCAAAAGGTTTTGCAGACAGGCCACCAACTCTTGTTTATGATTTTCTGCTTACTTCTTAGATTTCTGTATTTAGGAGCCAAATTCAAGGCTATTGACATGATTCAAGAAATTTTGCATGCAAAATTAAGACAATGAAAATGAACAGTCATGATCATAAACAGCTCTTTTTTGTTCAATTAGAAATATTTAGAAGAAAAAGAATCTTTAAAGTGCATAGTAAAATTTTAATAAGCGGAAAAAAATTAGATCCATTCTGAATCAATTAACAAATTCCATTGCTTAATCAAATTCAACAACAATATCACCTAGCTCTGTATTTACTGAGCACCTAGCAAAATGGTACAATCTACTAGAACAATCAGTTAAGTGTTCACCTTGCAAAGAGGAATAATGATTCATTTGTTGCACAGCCTCTACTAGTAACAAATATGGTGTCAACATATTCATAGCATATCATAACTATCAAAATCTAGAGGAAAAATTGTACAGTTACACAACAATCCTTTGGCACAAAAAGAGGTACAAGGCTTTTGTATTTTCAGGTCCTTTTCACTGTTTTGTACTGTTACAATGAGCTTGATTAGTATTTTCTTCATTTGCTATCCGCACCAGTCTGCCTAAACTGACCCTTACCTATTTGTTATTCCATTCCCTCAATGTCAGCTAAGAACCCTGATTAAAGGATCACCAGAATTTGTTGTTCCAGTTCCATTTTAACAGAAATAACTATTGTATGAGAAAACAGTTCTGTTTGAAGGAAGAGATTTTATGTCTTTTGAATGTAGTACATACCTGTTCCTTTGCTTACATATGGAGTCTTGAAGAATTTCACAACACCATACAAATTCACTATAGTTCCATCTTTAAGATGATTCAGAGGAGTATACACATATTTTGGTGCAACAGACTAGAAAGGCATGATAAAATTAAGGGACAGAAGAAAAAACATTACTCAAACATTCACCCAGAATTCTGTCTTCTAACACCATCTAGCCTTAGGTATGTTTTTAACTTGTCTTAATAAAGTTTTTTTTCTACCTTACTCAATTTAGACCTTCTAAATTTTATTTATTCATTCACAGGCAACGAAGCATACAAGACCTATATTTCCATTTCTTTTGCAATTGCATCTTTCTCACAGTAAACTAGCCAGTCAGTCAGTTCAAGTAAGCTCCAACATATGAAATAAGTGAATAGGTAAATGAAAGTCATTACAATAAAGAACTTTGGAAAGCAATTTTTATTGATTGATCTTAACGCATCCATCCAAAGGACATTTTAAAGCATGCACATAAATCTCTTTTTAATTTTTAGTAGCAGTGTCTCTGCACAGAATCACTGATTTGGGGATCTCATCTCTCACAGCAATTGCGTAAGTTTCTAACAGCCCATTTCTTGGAGGATTACAGAAATTAAGGACTACTTTTTACTATTTAACTCTCCTCTCATTTTAAGATTACAGAATACAATGATTAGCCTCATTTAAAAAACAAATTCTCCCAAACTGACTGAAAACTGTGTTTTTCATTCATTGTATTGTGGAAAAAAATTCTCAGACAATTAAGACAAAGCCAAGCTGTGTTATCTTCAGCACTAAATCTTTAACCTTATGGTAAAGGACAATTGGATTTCACATACCAAAATTCATGCCTTTAATATACTACTTTCTGAAGAATTTTAATTTAGATAGGCAAAGACTTGTTCCGAATAGTAATAAAAATAAGTGCTAAAAACACAAAGTGTGATTTTAAAGCAAAGGAAGATACTTTAAAAAAAAAAAAAAGGAAAAAAAAAGCAGCATACAAACTGCTTTGGAAAGGAAGGTACCTTTCTAACTCGTATTTCCTAAGCCAACATGCAGCCTATTTTTAGATCTAGATAGAAACTATACCGCAGACTACTTTATCATATTTGATCTCTTTTTCCAGGCATAATATTTGCAAAATTAATGCTAAACAAATGACTGATGGGACAGTAGTATGGATGCCAAAAAAACAGGAAAGAAAAATAATTCTACACATTCTTATCCACATGCAGTTTGTCTTACGTGGGTTAAAAAAAATCCCAAATATAAACTCACCACAGATGCAGTTTCTGAAGCAGTTGTGCTTGGCTGAGCATAAATCTGAGGAGAAAAGTGGCAAACTCACTGATTACAGAAGTGAAGAGAGCACAAATATTTTAACAAGATTTGATATTGCTATAGTAAAGACTTAGAAAACAATACTAAAACTGCTTTTCCTATTGGAATCACTGCTGAAACTAGCAAATTTTGATCCTACAAACAAAAAAATCTGTTCTGATTACACTTAGACAACACCTACTTTAAATAATACACACAGTTTCTCAAGTAGAAACCATTCTTGCACTCCTTACCTTGTGTGCATCATTGAATTCTATTATGGGCAAGAATGGTTTAAACAGCTCTAAGAAGGACAAATTTCTGCACTCAAAAAGTAGTATTTTACCTCAGAGGCCAGAGATGATTTGGGTCTGGCACCACACTGGATCACTTCAGCATCATATTTTGACAGAGTGCACTTCGCAGACATATTCTGTAATCTCAGTGTTATCTACTGCAAAACATTCTTCTCTACTGCAGGCTGTTCTGCAGAGTATTATCAGGAGGGACACAACTCTCATCAAGGCCTTTCAGAATCTTGGGCAGAAAGGAGAACACTCGTCCCCACACATCAGCAAGATAAATACAGGTGTTTTTTTCAGCTGCACCACTTTCACAAAATGGGTGGAGTCAGGTATTATAAAATTGTGCAAACATGGATGTGTCCTGACTGGTGCCTGATGGACATACTACAATAATCTACAGTACTTCAAATTCTAATAGTACCTCAAATTCTCTATTGTAAACCAAAATTCTAATGAAGCTATTTATTAAAAAATAAAAAAAATGGGCACCCACGTACATAAATGGCTGAACCAGCTTCTTCTGACACCTCCAGGTGGCAACCATGTCTACCATCTTCTCTTGCTGTAGGTGATTTTGCCAACTTAAATCCAGCAACTATACAGGTGTCCTATGGAGACAGGGTGATTAACAGATGTTAAGTGCTGTACATCCTCTTTTAAAGGAGGATATGGTATCTAATTTTACTCTAAAGTCTCAAGACTTACAATAATAAGCTTTAAACAAATTCCAAATGCTGCCTTTATGTTTCTCTATTAAGTTCTTCTGTTCTTTTACCCATGAAATTCATATTTCTAACCAACCTCAGCCAGCTTTTTTTTTTTTTTTTTTTTTTTTTAATTCTTTTAAAATATTTGAATTGTTCATGCTACTATTACTGGCAAAACCTAGAGGGGAAGTCACATTGAGTAAAGCAAGAAAATGGTTACCCTTTAAATATACTGAAGTCTGACTCCTTGTACAAAATTAACTAAACTAAAAAAGTAGTCACATTTCTGACTAATACTGGTAAGGCATTCCTTTCTTGGTTGTTGTTACTGCATTACAGCTACACTTTGAAGAGATTATCCTTAAAAATAATTTCAATTTGGTTGAATTGACATCTTCCAATTTACTTCTTAAGGGTTAACTAAGTAAGTAAATCACTAGATTTCTGGTAGGAAAAGAGACTCAAACTGCTCTGGTGTCACTCTTGAGCTTCTAGCACAAGCAGCAGTTCCATTTGCTGCTGCATGGGTATACAATAACTTAGATACCACTAAGTGAAGAAGAACAGGGAGGATTTAAGCACCTGTAGCAGATTACTTTTAGTAGTAACTTCACCCCAAAAAATAAAAGGGAGAAGGAGGATGACATAAAACACATTTAGGAAGTAGACGTGCTAAGAAAGGTAGTTAAGCAAGCAAAAATACAGTGCTGGGAACTCTTACACAATGTAAAGCTCTTTTAAAGTCAGCTGCTTATGTACCAAAACAGGATGGAAGGGTTGCTGTTATGTGATCCATTCCCATAAATCCTTCCACGCTCATGCAAACACACCTGAGAACAATCATATTAGACCTGAAGCCCTTTTCCTATTTGACCTTCTACCAAAAGCACTTTCAGCAGTTTTTAATGATTGACTTTTGTGTGTTTATTTGATTATAACAAATAAAAGAGTTTTCTGATTAAAGCTGACAGTTTTTGCCAAATATTGCACTACGATGTCTCTTTTTGCTATTTCAGCAGTCTGATAATGCTACTCTGAACAATTTAAGATCCAAAGCATTAATATTTTGTGCAAGAAAAATAAAGGCTGCTGGTTTAAGTGATACTAACATATTTAGTTATTAAAGGATTTGGAAAAAAAATGTAAGAAAAATAAGCTCGAACAGAGCTAATTTGCTAATATATAGCAAAACTACATAAGGCATGGTAATTTTTTTGTAGTGTCATAAATGGGAACAGAATGTATATTTTGACTAGAAGATAATACGCAAGTCACCTAACTGTAATGTGTATTCATAGCTTAGAATCATAGAATCATTAAGTTTGGATGAGACCTTCAAGATCACCTGGTCCAACCATCACCTTACTACCAATGTCACCCACTAAACCATGTCCCTAAGCACCAGGTCCAACTAAATGGGTCAAAACAATTAGATGACTTAATATTCCCTGCACCTGAAACATACCACCCTGCAAACATACATTAAAGTTGTTTCATTCTTTTCAGATACAGATAAAAACATAGAAACACAACCTTCAACTCGGCTACTTTGCAGAAAACAGGTGCAGTACATGTCTTTCCCCTCTCTACTGCTGATGCTATTCATGGTGTTCCTTTAACAGTAGAATCAACCTTCAAATAAAAAGCTATCCATTATTCCTGCTTCAGCATTTTATTAGATTACAGGCTGCATCAGATTTGGGAACTTAGGTGCTGAGTCAGGACTGGAGAGCTGACTTTACTTGTCTTGTACTTCTGAGAAGGAACTTTAGAATTACACAGACTCAAGTGGTTACGCAGGTTGATAATAGATTATTTTTTTTGTGAATAACTAATTACTGGTGATGGCAACTCTTACATAACATGCAATGCAAAACATGGCATTCAATAAATACCTATGAAAGGTCTGTAATTTCAAAGAAGTAGTAAGACAGCTCTATCCTCAAAATCTAGTTTTAAAGATAAAAAGAACAGATGTTTTCTCAGATTTATCATTAATTCTTGGTCAGCTTTGACAGGTTGTGAGTTGCAGTTTCTAAACATGAACAAAATTTACATAAGCTTTGAAAGTGTTTTTTAATTTAGGACTGTATGCAGCGCCAAGGTTCAGGTTATTGGGGAAGAACACTGATTTTAGTGCTGGCTTTCTAAGGGTTGCTGCTTGTAGGTTGTGGTTTCCTATTCAGCTCTCTGGGACTGATCTAATTGTTGCTCAAGGCTTTGCTCATGATTTGTATTTTTATCAGGACAATAAAAATCATTAGTTCTTTATATTTAAAATCATTCTGCAGATTGTATATTTAACAAATTAATTCAAGAACTTCTCATCTATGAATCACAGCCAAAATTCTGTGGAATCCAGAAACTGGTATAAAGACTGATGCTTCTTATTTCATACATATCCGAGATTTGTAAAAGGACTTTCTGTCTCAAAGCAACTGAACTGATTGTGCTGATATTCAAGGCACATTTCTCTCTTCTGCATGGCATATGACAAACAGTATAACAAGGCTTTGATTCACAGTGGAATCTGATTTAGAATTGAACGCTCTCTGACCTGCACACATTACCCAAGCCCTTCGGTGTTGTTTCCTCAAACTCACACAAGTCTGAAATTGGCCATGCATCAATCTCAAGGTCAAATTAATAGCACAATACCTGTACAGGTTCCACTAAAAGAATCTAGGTAATTTTTATTCCTTACTGTTAAATTCATTTGAAAGAATTCTATTTGTGAAATCTCTCATTCATGACCATGACCACTGTGTTCCTGACTTTTCCTTCATATAACCTGACTGGAGAGATACTAGCTGCAAACAGAGGAAGATGTCCTGCAGACGTATTTATTATTTGCTTTTCTCCAGACTTTCTATTTAATAGATTACAAAGTACAGATGACATGTACTTCCCAAGACCTACCACCATGCTATCTGTCAGAACAAGCACCTTTTGGTGGAAAACTTTTCTTAGACTCAGCAATTTCTTAAAAACAAAGCTTTATCCCATTCAGTTCATGACAAGATCAATTATCTGCTGATGGGAACCACATGGTAAATTATGCCAGAAAAAAATCCTTGAAGTGCAAGGAATTGCATTGTTGATTAAAACTTCTGAAGAATTTTACAGATTCATTAAAAATACAATAAGCATTTTTGAATATTTTAACTCACACATTATTTGACTGAAAACATGACAAGGTCAGAATGACAGAGAAAAAGAAGGATCGAAAAATATGTATGCCAGCATCTTTCATTTCTATGGGAACATTTCACCTATATTTCACAACTACTTACTAAACATTCATAATACCAGTATTTTTTGGGGCCAGCCTTTTCATAGACTATGTCAGTCTCTCTTATACATTCTGTAACTTCCAAACCTCCTTAGTGACTTCAGCTCATTTATCAAAAGTTTTAAAAGTCTCAAAAAGACTCTTTTGAAAAAAAGAGCGATATTAAATCTTTTCTTGGGTAAGGTACTTTTGTGTTTTTGTTTTTTTTTTTTTTTTTAATATTTGAAAAAGTAGTCAATGTATAACTGCCTATATTTGAGGGTCATCTAAGCAAAAACTAAATGCTTAGTTCCTTCTCTCTGAACTATATGTATTTATAGGAAAACAACTAAAAAAATCCTTATTATTATTAAGCTATATTAATTTAGATTAACACAGCTGAAAAAAACAAGGATTCAGAAGTTTTCACTGTCTGAAAGTGTGTAAGCATCTAATCATAGAAATAAAAACATACTATAGATCACTACATAGTATATAAACGCATCAGCTCTAATTATAGGTGTAGTTCGTGAAATTTGCACCATCAGTCCCATATGTCTCCAGAGCTGACACATGCATCTTTGAAGCCAATACAATTCAGAATGCAAGCTACTATCCAGAAACAGCAATATCACTCCCAAGGAATACAAATCGATCTTCCCTTCTCAAAAAAAAGAAAAGAAAAAAGAAAAAAAGAGCTGAGAAACAAGCAAAAATCATTATTTATCTTTGGGTAGACTTACATGAAAAGAGCAGGCTTTCCTCTGAACTGAAATTAAAATATTCGATAAATTTGGACTTTCAATGATATTTTGATGTAGGTACCTAACATCTGAATGTTTTATGTTTCGGCATACAGATCAACAGAATTCAGGTATACTTGACTGGATATTAGGAAAAAAGCTCTGCACGGAGAGGGTGGTCAGGCACTAGAACAGGCTGCCCAGGGAAGTGGTCTTGACACCAGGTATGCCATTTGAGCAGCATCTGGACAACACTCTCAGACATACAGTCTGATTTTTGAGTGATTCTGCATGAAGTCAGGAGTTGGACTCGATAGTCCTTGTGGGTCCCTTCCAACTCAGGATATCATCATTCTATGATCTGAAAAGCCTAGACAGATATTTTAACTAAGCCATTTCTATTTCCACATTTGAGAAGGTCTTTAAATTTTGCTCATAAAAAATATTTCTAAAAATCTGAAAAGAAAGCTCAATTTTCTTCACTAAATAATTCTCAATTTTCAGTGTGAATTTGTATCACAAACAATAAAGCACTAACACGAGTTTATAATGTACTGTATACTTTAAGTCGATATCTGGCTAATATTGAAATGTCAGCAAACTGACAGGCAATCTAATCAAAATTATTAACTTGAGGTAATTGTTTTCAGCTTGTTTTCCCTCTTTAGTTGCAGCACTCTCACTGAAACTCAGAGGCTGACTTGCCAATGTCCTTTACCCTGGAGCTATCAAACCAAGATGTATCTCTAATGAAGCAAGATGCCAGCACACAGACAATAAAGACTATGCCGTTTTGAGTTATTGAAAAAAAAAACAACAAACATAATTACACTAAAAGTTGTGTTAAATCAATATAATTTTAAGGTCTACCTTATCAAATTGCCATAGACTTTTAACTTATGAACATAGAAAGATAGCTTCTCTAACATCAACATTCATGATCCTTTACTTGTTAAGTAAAGGAAACAACACTGAAAAAACAAAAAACTGCTTTATTTGAATGTTATTGTCCAAAGGAATTTACAGAAGCAAATACTTTTTTCTAGTTTGTATTTATAGATTTGAACTGACTAAACAGAGTATTTCTAATTTTGGTGATAGCTATACAAAGAGAAAATAAGAAAGCAACATAGATCTGTGGAAAACAACCCCTAAAATAAGAAAAAATAAATACATTTTACCCCATTACGTATAACTTTTGCACAATCATCTGCCATTTTTCCATATATTAGAATATTGATACTGTCGATCCTTGCACATGAGTTATCTATAGGGAAAAAAAAAAGAAAAAAAATCCAATTACCATAAATTCTTCAAAGCAAAATTGTAACAGGAAGATGTTTCCAAAATAAATTCATCTTCAGAGCCTAACACTCCATTCCAATTTATTTACAAGCAGAAAATCATTTAAAATAGCTGTTAAACTGTTTTTGTGTGCTAACTATAGGTAAATCAGTAAAATATTCTTTATTAGATGACTATTTTACATGGGTACGTATTCTGCATCAGTGTATATTAAGCAGAAATGACACAAATTTCCACTTGAACAATTCAGTGCATAATATTAGAAAGGAAATATTAACTAGTCACATTTGATTTTTTTGCATTAACACAGAACTATAGAACTAGATTAAATAGAGATGATTCTGCAGGACATATGCATATCAAGTAAATAGTCTTCCAGGAGGACCAAAGCAGAAATCAAGTTGTTATTTTAGAAGATTTTCCTAGCTGTTATTGTTACAGAATTGACACTAATGATTTAGATGTGCAAATTTATTTTTTTGATGCTCTGGAGAACATGCAGAAGCTCTCAGCCTCCTTGAACAGTCATTTGAAATTAACGAGACTCATGAAATTTTCCTTCTATCCTTGGGAACTCTGAAGCAGGGAAAATGCTTCCAGTCCCATCAACTTCATTCACCTCTGGTGACACTAATCACAAGCAGCACCACCAGGTAGGATCTGCGCCCCCTAACCTGCACTTTGGTCATAATCACAGAATTTGTAGAATCAGGAAGGTTCAAAAGCAACAAGTGATAATTCCCTAACAAGTGTAAGGAAGGAGCTGAGAAGGAAGTTAAAAGAAATGGGAAGTCCAGCATTAATTTGGACTCCTGACTAATAACATCCTTCTATTTCCTGATAGGAAGGAAAGATAAGCTTTGGACTTAAGGAGAGTTTTTTTTAAAACTACTATTTATTACATGATGAACAACTTAAGTCCTCCAACACAGCAATGTGTCTACTGATATTTGAGTAATGAGCAGAAAATCTTTCTTTGAACCACTTAGTTTAAAACAACACAATACATATATCTTACTGCTAACCGACATACAGATCTATATTAAGTGTACGCTGTCATTGTATATGTTTCCTAGTCCTTCTTTATGATAAGAAGCTTAAAAATACTCTATTAAAGCTGTACACATAGCTAATGAATTTCCAAAACAGTATTTTAAAAGATTCTGCAACAAGAAGTCTACTGAAAAATACAGAGACCATATTGCTCACAGATAACTTAACTGGTATAATTTTAAAATAATCCACTTGTGAGGGGAATTAACATTTCTAGACATTATTTCAAGTCTAAACATTTTCTGAACACAAAGCAGGTACTAGTGGTGTGATAGCATGATGTCAAAAAAAGTGTTGAGAAGGTCAGGAAAAAAAAAAAGGCAAACAAGTACCTTGAAGAACAATCTTGAAAAAGTCTGTCCCATCTCCAAGCTTTGTTTGTGGGTAGGAAAGAATAACAGCTCCCTAAAAAATAAAAATAAATGTATATACACAGATATATATGAACTAGGACCATATACCTATATGTTACTGAAACACTGATAACAGCTGAAATCTCTACGAGCTAAAAGAAGAAAAGGTAGAAAGAAAATAAGAGCAAAATACCATCTGAATTCTTAAAAAAATAAATAAAACTTGGGGTATAAAGGAAATTCCATGCATTACATAGTATATGTCAAAACTACTTGCTACAAACTAGGTGGTAAGCTTAGACTGCACAATGAAATAATAGATATGGAGGTATCTTTTACTACTCACACTAACACAACAAAGGCTAAAACGGGTAGGACAATCAAAATCTTAAAAGATAAAGCAATTCCTCAAAAATTACTGGCCAAAACTTACAACATAAATATAAAAACATAGTCGAGAGATAAAAGACACATATGAAGATAAATAATCTGTGGAAATAAAAAATGTACAGCTGGGATTATAAAACAGCATCACAAAGCCTGGAAACTGCAGCAATATAAAAATTCATCAATAGCATGCTCTAAAAGAGTCTAAGTTTCTATTAAACACATAAAATATCTTTTATTATACGTATGATACATATTAGTGTATTATTATAATAAAGTTCCAAGTTACACTGAAACAAAATCACTGCAATTTTACGTAGGTTGACATCTCCTTGGAACAATTTTTGTTTATTTGCTTGTTTTCAGAAATGTGGCATCTCATCAGTAAAGCTTCTTCAATGTTAACAAAAATGTTAGTCTAATGTATTCCTACCTAGTAAGGCAGGTAAAAAAACCTGTCATTTTCATGGATAAAAACATAGAAATTGGTTCAATAAAGAAAAACACAGGAATTTGAAAACTGAGTCTATGAGCCACTTAAGAGGAGAACTATAAAACAGCGCAGTAAAAATAAATAAATAAATAAATAAAAGGGCTCTTCTAAAGACACAGCAGGGGCAATCATCTATAAATGCACAAAAGCAACATTAAGAGGACAGTCGGGTAAATCACCGCGATGTTATAACACACACGTTCTTTAGGAAACTTGATTTAAATGTTAGTAAACACCTCTTAAACCAAATTAGGATAAAATATACAGCACTGAACTGCTATTGTAGATGTTTTTCAGAGCAAAATTAGTCCTACAACAACATATTAACTGAGAAGGAATACAAATAAAATTGAACAATTTATTTTATTGTTTTATAAAGAATTACTTAACATCCATAAATCCTCCTATCCTCCTTTTCCAACCTGAAGCATAATTTAATTTTATTACACCAAAAAACTATGTTGAATTGTATTTAGTATTTACTTTTTTTTTTTTTTTTTTTTACACTTCCAAGAAAACAGCAAAACTTCACTTAGACTAAAACAAAGGTCAAAAATCTATGACTACATGAATACAGTCCGAAGCATAACGAAATAACAGGAGGTGGCATCAGGTTCTGTCATGGCACAGCCTGACTGAGGATGCATGGACTTTTGTTGTGCTGTGTTCCCACATTTAATGGGGAACATAAATTTAAATTAAACTTTATATTCTTCAGAGGGATGCTAGAAACAAAAGAACTTTCAGAAGAACGAAAGGAAAACACTTCAGAAAACCATCCTGTGCCCTGTCTTCTTTCTCAACGCATGGCCTGACTTTTGGCAGCTCTGGAGTAACAGCATGCCACCACTAAGATAACCTAACATTAGTGCAGTCTAACATTTCCTTCAAGCTTGGTTTGTGGAACTGGATTCTCCAACATATTTAATGGTGCATTAGCACAAGCTTTATCAGCTCTCCAGTTGTACTGGTTTTATGCCAAGCTGGTTTAGTCACCTACTAATCCATGTTGGCGGCAACATGAAGTTTTCTTAATATAAGGCAAAATTCTGAGAAAGATTCTGTACACTTTATTTTTCAGCAATTAGCTATAAAACCACATGTATGCTTTAAATCATAGTATGTTAATAATCATCCTGCTTTCCTACTGGAAACATTTGCTCTGGCAGAAACTTTTTCTAATTCAGAATCTGCTTCCGTTTGCTTCAGCATTTCCTTTGTGAACAAGAATCCCTGTTCTTCAGTGTCAGAGGGTACTTGCAGAAATAGCTCTTTAAAAGCAGAAAAGCCTATATGCCCTGCAGGTGCATGGGACAGAAAGCTACACCCTGAGGAATAAAAACCCTGCTTATAAGCACCACTGGATTTTGATAATTCCATTTGTTCATTTACAAGACCTAAGGGGTCATTCTCCCTCATTTATGTCATCAAATCACCTCCTATCACACTCTAGCAGTCTACTTCCAAAAAGGGCAGATTTGCTCCTTTCTGCTTTACTTCTGGCATCTCCTTGACACCAGAATGAACCAGTCGAGAGAAGAAGAGCAGCTGAAAACTACCCTGGTAATACAGATAGTTTCCTGCCAGTTTATTTCTCTCAACTGAGTCATCACAGAGTTAGATAAGCACTAACACTGGAACTGGGAATATACAGGTGGGGAAGCAAAATGTTCTTCTTGGATGTAGAAATCACTTCTGTTCATACTTTTAAAACATTTGCATCATTTTTTAAGGATGCAAGCCACCTAAGGTTTTCTCCAGAATTTCTTTTATTTTTAATAGTCAGAAAACAAGCCTGGGATGATACCGATTCCTAGCCTCTTAAATGCCAGGGATGGTAAACAGGATTTTCAGCACCATGCACACAAAAAATTAAACAGGTTAAAAAAGAAAACCCTCACGAATTGGCACTGTATTTTACAGAGCATATGTGGTTTAGGAATTAAAAAATATATTGCTGCATTACACTAGTACACTAGGACTGTATTTTGAATATATACCGAAATATATTTGGGAGTCCTGGAGAATATATAATGTGCAGTTGATAATGATTAAAAAAACTGAACATCTTGATGCATATAGTTGCCAGAGATCTCTTTTCATAAAACTGGCTACTGAATTGCTTCATGCAAGAAAAAAAAATGTTTCAAAATACATCACTGAGAAATCTGATCTTTAACAGGATGGTGGTGCTTATTACTATTTAAAAAATAAACAACCTTCCTCAAACCTTTAATTTTCAGCACAGTCTTCTGCATAAAGTATTTTTATATGGGTACATAAAAAATGAAAAATATATTTCTTTGATATAAGAAAACCTCTTATAAAATTTAAACCTGCCCATGCAAGAGGAAAGGGCAGAACTGTAGACCAATGGACTCAATAGCAACAATGCAACTAACTCCAATAGTGTCATAATTCCACGTTACTTAAAGCTATGCGACAAATGTACATAAACGTATCACAGCAGTAAGTCACAAACTGAGTCAAAATACGTTGACCCCTTGTCAATAAAGCAGGAATTATTTCAAAGCAAAATTTGTTTGTCAGTAAGTTACCTGGAAATATTTGTTGGTATAATCCAAGCCTGCGTGCAAATGTTTTAAATCCTCCCTCTGCAAGTGGCTTGGTAATGGAGGCTCAGATTTTCCTTTAATGATCTTCAGCAGCTGAACAGGCATGGTTGCTTTATCTAAACAAAAATGAGAAACAGACTCCTGAAGCTACTCAGCTTGTTCAAACTACGAATTACTAGAAGATGCAATTTATTCTGAATTGGAAAATCTATTTCATAACACAAGAGTTTTATTGTACAAGACTAAAAATCTTCAGAGGGACCGGCCCCATCTCTCAGTACCATGAACATCAGGAGGAAAGAACATAACATTTGCTTGGTGATAGACCTCCATTGTAACTTTTTTATTTGGAAAACATTTCATTGTGCTGGAAATGGCAACAAAATAATACTTTATACATGATTAAAAACAACCGGTGAATGTAAAAGATAAACAGTATGAATGCTTTATGCACAGAAATACACATTAGGAAACAAAGATGGAGTTTGAATGGCAACACCAAAGCAGAATCTTGTTGCCAAGTAAAAAGCAGAAGTGCAACTACAGCTGGATCAGCAACAGTACATCAGCAATTTGGAGAAGAAGATGCACAGGAGACGCATTATGTTTGCATGACTGATTTTCAAAGCAGTTTGTGCAACTGGCAAGATTTCCTTGTCCCTCAACCCCCTCCCAAAATTAAAACAAACAAATGAACAAACACCCCAGAAGATTTAAGATCAGAAAATAGCTAAGTCATCGCATGTTAACTGACTATGCTTACCAAGCTCTTTATAGTAAGCACAGAAGACCACCAAAAGAAACAAAAGGTCCTTATAAAAATGGGGAGCTGTTCATGACAGCCACACACACAGCAGATCCCTGAGCGGATGGCTCCTATCTATGTTGCTGCCTAAATCACAGATAGGCTGCCTCGACAGCTATTACCTACGCTGACTCCAACACGTGGAGCAATGATCAGTGGCATTAATTGTATCAGCCTCCTCACGTCTCCAAAATCACACCTGGTGCTCTTGGAAGGCACCAGCAACACGTGGGATAACACTTCCTAAGGGAAGAATATAGTCAAAGCAGTCATGTAAGCCAACTTCCACACCTTCTGAAATAAGACTCACATTAAAAACTTCTACCTTGTATGTGGCTTATCATATATTAATCTTCTTTATAAAGAGACCCTTTCCTCAGCACAGGTTGTAGCTAAACAGTCACTACATTCTGTATAATACACGTTGACTGCTTCAAAATGAGGTATCTGTTCAACCTAAGGTAAATGTGATACGCTTATGTAGACTTTACTTGATACATTGAACAACATTTTCTAAAGAAAAAAATAGTAAGAAAATAAGATGGGCCTCTACAAATGCTAAACACTGCACCGCTAAAAAAAAAAAAAAAGCTGGGAAACGTATGACTTCAGCTTCTATTGTTTGTCCTCACTGTGCCTGAAGTCGATGAAGCAAATTATTGGTGATGTTATTGTTATGATAATAAGAACGGGAGAGAGGGAGAAGAGTCTATTGTAGCAAAGTTACACATAAAAAAAACTTACAAAAATGATATAGCAGTAAGTAGTTTTTGCTACTTTTTATTGCTCATTATTTGGTCATCTCATTCTTTTTGACTTAGTGTATTTGTTGGTTTTGTTGTTGTTGTTTTTTTCCTCTTGTGAATTTTCTGTTTAAAGTATTATCTGCAGAAAAGTCACAGCACTTTCAATCTTCAATTTTCAATAAGTTTTAATAAACTACGTAACAATACTTTCTATTTCTAAAAAACCCATTTGGCAAGATTATAGCCATAGTCCTTATTTCAGACAGTTTTAGCAATCTCTATATGACAGTGAAAAACACACAAAAAAAATATTAAGTATTTTCTACTCTGGAAGGAACACAAAACCTGGTGTGCTACTAAATAAAAGCTTAAAATACATTCTCATTTCAGTTCAGAAGTGCTTATTCAATGCTAAGCAGACTGAATTCTTACAGAGTGCTCCCTTACAATGAAATGGAAATGGGAAGCCATTGCCCAAACCATTCTTAACATTTCCTGAGGGGAAAGACCAGTAGATGGTAAATTATAAACATAAGCCAATGAAAATAGGAGCAGACACTCAGAAATACTATAGATATTTTTTAAAACAAACAAACAACCAAAAAACAGGTTCTTCACCTTACTGTCACGCCAGTACCCAAAGCTACCTGATTCCACGTACTATTTCTCTATTACTGAACCGCTCCATTCTTCTTCCTGCGGAAACTCTCTAGCAGCCTTATTCTTGTCTAACAGACAATTTGTAAAACAGCAGTTAACCCTCCACTAGCAACATCAGCTTTTCTGCTAACATTTAAGAAAGCAATAATAACAAAACAGCCTCTGGTTTCATCTGCTTTCCTATTGCATCTAGGAAACCAAGTATGCATTTAAACACAAAAGACATCGTAGAGAGTCTGGTAACTATGGTATCTCATGGGAAAAACACTAGTGCCTGACTTCAGTGTCTAATCTAAATTTGTAGCTTAGACTTTGAAAACCAGTCCCACATCTGCTTCAGATAACTAAGCATCCACTTGAAATCAGGAGACTCAGTAACAAGAGAGTAACAAGGCCACAGTGCCATGCATCTCCCTGGCACACAATATATATTCCCCTACTTTGCAACAAATGTCAGCCAGCAACTTCTTCCTCTGTAGCTTCCTCCCCAGTGCCCACAAAGCAAGAAGGCTTTGTATCACTCAAGATGACAACAGGTGCTCATTCCAAGGCTGCCAGGTACAGCACCAGATTCAGGTTTCAATTCCTACTTGAGCTAAAGGAGGGGCAAAACCCAGGTGCAAAGATGCACATGCTCTGCCCTCTCTGTAGACTGCTTTAACTACGGAGCTACGAGGGTTTACATGTCCTGTGCAACACCTCTGATGCCTTTATCTGTGTTTTCAAACACGAACCAAGACAATGTCATCATTACCTGGCCAGGATTTCAAGCCTCTAGTGAAAACAGCAACTAAAACTCTTAAAAAGCTTTCCAGTCAAAAGTATCTACTTCACACTACGTTCTAGCAGCCTGAGAGGCCGATCCATTTCATCTGGAAACAGTCAACTTCAAAGTTAATCAGCGATGTTGCTCTTCATCAAGCAACATCAGAATGAGCTAGGGAGTCGTACAACATAACAAATTAACACTTCTTAAATTTCTCTCTGTTACGGTACTTGAACAATTACATAGATGTTTCTGTGTTGTTGCTGTTGTTGTTTTCCCAGAGACATATAAAAGCAAGATGTATTTTGTTATAATTCAAAGACCGCTGTTAAATCAAAATAAAGAAAGGTATTCAGGTTTAAAAACTTGACTCTCTCTGATGGCTATTTAAATTTAAATTCTAATTTAAATTTAAATTCTAAATTTAATTTAAATTCTAAATTTAAATTCCCTTAAATTCTATGGCCCCCTTATTTCCTTTAAAAAAATCCTTTACCATTTATTTCAATGGAATGAATATTCTGGACGTGTCTTCAAAATTACAAAAGAAAATTTCTGAAAATGATACATATGCAAGTTGATGCAGTGGTACATGCCCGTATTATTTGCACTACTTAACAAATTACCTAATTGTGGGAGTATATATGTAAATAACATCCAAGTAGAAAACAAGTAGTGTTTTTTCCTTTTTTCAGATCTTGAATTTCTATACATATAAAAATAAGGTCATGTATTTTAACGGCTAAACACCGAAGTTCCCAGATTTTTGTTCTCTGCAATTAAAACATGAAGGCGTGGGTGTGTATGTACACACACACTGCAGCTCCAAGAGCTACAAAAGCAAGTTTTCAAAACATAAGTGATGCAAGCCCTGGCTTCCAAAATCTAGGTGCAAATATCTTTAGTGTTGTCCTTGGCACTCAGAGCTGTTGTGAATAGCAGCTAAGTGAAGATAAGTCTGTCGAGTATCTCAGTTGCTCTGAAAAGGCTGTCTGCGTAACACTGACAAGAATCACTCCAATTTGAATCTGCTGCTCAAGAATCCTGTAAGTGGCATAAACAGAGCTTCTCATAAGGAAGGGGGCGAGGAGGCTGTAAGAAAGGTAGACAGCATCACGGGACACTCTTTGAACAGCAGAAAAACAGGATGGCTGCAAAACATACCCACACAGGAAAGCAGGCAGTGAACTTGTGAGAAACACTCCGTAGCCAATAACTTAGGCTCAGGCAAGGATCTCAGTGAAGTAGTAATTTGTGATTGCAACGGTGGGCACCCCGCAAGCAAGAGAGCACGCCTACTAGTTCCAAAACACAGTTTGTATACTTTTTGATGACAGGACCCTCCCCTGTTTCCCCATTAAGTGGGTAATCCAGGTTCACAATCTATCTGATGCTTCACAGACAATGCATGGCCTTCAGTTGCCGGCCTGTAAAATTTCAAATTTCGCTTGAGATTTTTACTGTTTAAAGTGATAATGTTTCTTCACTCATCTGACTTGACACCATGATTTTCACCCAATTGCTCTAAGTAGTCTGGTGGTCTGCATTTTACAAGGTCACCTGCTAAACTTTCTTATCACTGTAAGCATATCTCAATACCACATTGCTTTCCTCTAAACAAGGTAACTGCAAAAACAACATTTCTATTCCCACAAACTGAAAACACCTATTGCATTCCGATAGCTATAAATGACAAAAATACAGAGATAGAGCGACCGAAAAGCTTAATAATTTTAATAATCAGAGAGCTATACAAAAGGTTACACCTTGTAAACAAACCCAGAAAAAGTGCTATCTATCATTTTTTAAGCAAGTGGAAAGTAACTGAAGATAGCTATGGGTTCAACATTCACGTGCTGCTCTGCTCTATAATTGATTTTCTACCTACTAATTTTCTAGACTTTATATTTCTGACGGGAGCAGTCTACTCTGCTACTACAGCCCACTACTTCCATCTTAATCATCTAGGGAACATTAACATGTATTCCAAAAGCATAAAAAAAATAACATGGTACACCAGAAAACAATTGCCTGCTAGAAGCAGCTTTGAACAAAGGTTAGCCTTCAACAAAAATAAACAGTTATTCTAGAAATTTGTTCTTCTGGAATGAGGGCATATTCCACCAAAGTACTGCAAACACAGCACGCCTTTATGCTGAGGTCCAGAAAGAAGGGAAAGTGATTCTTATATTTTAATATGATTAATAATAATATCAAGAAGGACTTTAACTCATTCTTCTCACTTGCAACCTAAGACTGTAAAGATCTAAAACCTGAATTACGGAGCTAAGAAACTGGAGCTGAAAAAACTGAACTATGGAGCTAACAAAAGCTGTCAGGTTCAGTAAGAAATCAAATTAATTAGTTTTTCCTTTTAGTTGCAGCACACCCCCAAAAAAAGCTTAAAATTAAAAAAAAAATAAATTACTTGATCTTCATTGAATCCTAGGGACTCTCCTTGCTCAAAAAGAATTGTACAAAAGAATTCAGCAACAGAACTGAAAACTCTCAAATTAGCTGTATCACTGCTTAATGTGCGTTGAAAATCATTAAAACACCACAAGCTGCAGCTACAATTGTAGTTAATACCATACAACCACCAACAATACAAAACTGCTGACCTGAACGCCAGCACAACATGAGTGAGACACAGAAACAACAGAAAATTAAGATTTTTTTTTTAAGAAAGGCACATAAGAACTGCAAATTGTTCTTACAATCAAGTTAATTCATCACTGTTTCTCCCCTTCTTTCACACCTCTTTAAGCAATATGAAATAGCAAATTTTAGACCATAATTAGGATAATAAAGGGGTAGAAAGTTGCTACAAGTTTTCAGCACAAAAAGCTGTAGGTCACAAGCTTAGTACACAAAAATGTTCTCATCCCCTGTCAATGTTAAATTAAAGGTACCAACATGCCTTAATAGTTGAAAGCCCCAGGGAACATGCTACCACTGCAAGACATCTTATTAGCAGTGACAGACAGGTCAAGTCAACCTGTTACAAGCAGGAATCATTCCACGTACATTCTGGATATACAAGTTGCTGAATTCTTTTGTACAATTCTTTTTGAGCAAGGAGAATCCTTAGGATTCAATGAAGATCAACTAAATTTTCACAGATGATAACAAGCCAGAAATAACAGTTCACTAGTAATGGAATGATGACCCACTGACCTCATGTCTCTAAGTAAATACAAGGAACACATAATGTAACAAGTAATATAAAGAAAATAGCACAAAGACAGTCACAGTTAATGTCCTGTTTTCTTCACCCCAGATCAAGAGAAACAAGCATTTCCTGGAAGAGAAGACAAAGTGATCACAAAGCAAGACTTCTCCCCATTGCATTTATTTGCTGAATTGGTCCAACATATTTGTCTTTCATATCTAGTTCTCTGAAATATCACAATTCTGTTATTCTCTCCAAAAAGTGAATCAAAACACAAACTTAAAAATGAACAAACAAACAGAAAAACTAAGCCCCTAACAGGATCCTAAATTATAAATAAAATGATGTAAGCCAATCTTTATCACTTTTTCTTCATACTGACAAGTCATAAACCATAGAATATGTTGAGCTGGAAGGGACCTCCAAGGATCACTGAGTCCAACTCCTGGCTCCACACAGGACCAGCTGTGTCTGAGAGCACTGTCCAAACGTTTCTCGAACTCCAGCAGCTCGGTGCCATGACCACTGCCCTGGGGAGCCTGTCCCAGTGCCCGACCACCCTCTGAGTGCAGAACCTTTCCCTAACCCCCAGCCTGACCCTCCCCTGTCCCAGCTCCATGCCGTTCCCTCGGGTCCTGTCGCTGTCCCCAGAGAGCAGAGCTCAGCGCCTGCCCCTCCGCTCCCCTCGTGAGGGAGCTGCAGGCGGCCATGAGGCCTCCCCTCAGCCTGCTCTGCTCTGGGCTGAACAAACCCAGGGACCTCAACCGATCCTCATACGTCTTCCCCTCCTGACCCTTCACCATCTTTGTAGCCCTACTTTAGGCACTCTAATAGTTTTATGTTCTTCTTATATTGAGGTGCCCAGAACTGCACACGGTGCTGGAGGTGAGCCCACACCAGCACAGAGCAGAGCAGGACAAGCCCTTCCCTTGCCCTGCTGGCAGTGCTGGGCCTGATGCACCCCAGGGTATGTCTGTTCCTCCTGGCTGCCAGGGCACACTCATGGCTCAGTTTCAACTTTGGAGTCAACAGCTCCTCCCGATTTAGTGTCACCTGCAAACTTACTTAGCATACTTTCAAGTACCTCAAGTACAAAATTCATAATAAAAATGACATACTAGAGATGATACAACTACACTCTAACCACAGCAAGTCTAATAATTCAGTTGTCATTAATCCTGAAAAGAACAAGACTGAAAATTAAATACATTAGTATTCTCCACCTTGACTCCAGAATTAACTTTCTTGGGGGAGGAAATTGAAGCCGGATCTGTTTTACCATACATAGTAGTACATCAATCCAGTGCAGCAGATAGAACACAATTACTTTTTTCCTGGATTACACAGATACACCCAATATTTAACCTTTGTTCAAGCCAAACATATGCACTACTGGCTCTTAACTTTGGCAACTGCTGCAACTTAGGGATTGTTCCTATGTACACAATTTTTCTTCCAGAACTAGTAAGAGATCAGCTCTGGAGCAAAAAAAAAAAGAAATCCCAAGAAGCAAGAAGTAACTTAGAAAGATTATTTCTTTCTCTATAACCAAGAAATATTTCACTGACATATGAAAATGCCAAAAAGAGATATATTTTGGGATAAAGAGATAAGTTTTGGGATAAGGAAGCTGCAGCAAAGGCATGAGGAGATTTGTTATTTATTAAAGCAGATGCTACTTGCAGTGAGCTACTGGAAGTCATTCTCCAAATCAGAGAATAAACACGTGGTTGTGCAGATCTGTGGAGGAAATCTCACCAAAATGTCATAAAGAATGAACAACCATGAACACCAGGATCTAATTGATGTGGTCAGTTAAAATGCCGCTGTAAGCACTCAAGAAGACAAAAATATGTAGCTTGGACATTCTTTAACACAGTCTAGTAACTTGTAATGTCATTGAGCATTCCTTGAGGGAAAAAATACAACAGCTATCTAAAACAAAAGGAAAAACAAGTCAGAAGTGTGACACGCTTTATCCCCTTGACCATCAGACTTCAGCCTGATGCTGGTACAGGTTTTCAGGTGCAAGTCTCTGGAAATAAGTCCTAGGCCATTTTTACTCAAACAGAGCTGGTGTTTGCCATCACTAGCACACAACTAGAGTTCTTAAAAATAAATAAACACCAACTCCTTTACTTTATTCACTTCAGATTACAAAGTACCAATCAGATTGTTTAAAAATAGCAACGAACAAATGCAACCTGAGGAAAATGGATTGTTATGCTGCCATTTACCTAAAAACACTGCAGCTCTAGAAAGCAGCCACCGGCTGCAATATGAACAGAGCTTAAGACAACAGGGCAGCAGGCCCATTCCTGATGCGACCTGTAACTATTCCAGAGGCGATCCAGCAAGTGCAAGAAGCCAGGATGTATAAAAGCAAGAACTTAGTGTTAGATTAGATGTGTTACGAAGTAAAACTTTGTTTTCTATGTACTTTGTGTGTAAGAAGTTAAAGTAGAACTAGGAGAAGATAAAACAGAGTATATTTACTGTATATAGGGCATATATATAACAGTGTATATATATATATGTATACACAGTACACGTGTGTATATGCATATATATATATATATATATACGCACTGTGAAGCCCTAAAGCATTAGGTTTGCCAAAGCGGGGGCTGAATTCCCGCAGGAGAGACAGGGAGCGGGTATGCAGGGAGGGAAGCTGCGCACGGTGCCGGCCGGTGCCGCACCGGGCAGCGGAGCCCCCGCGGAGCCCTCCTGGCGCCGCCCTCCCCTTGCTCCCGCGGAGCCCCGCTCCGCGCCCCTCCCGTACCTGCCCGCCGGCGCGGCGCGCCACCGTCCGCCGCCAGCAACACTTCCGCCCGGCTTTCTCGCCTGCTCGCACTGAGCGCATGCCTAGAGCATGACGCATGCGCGCTGGTAGCGCTGCGAACCGCTGCGAGCATGCGCTGTGTGCAGGAGTGAAGGCGTTGCCCTCAGCTGCTGCCCGCGAGGGGGCGGGCAGGGCGGGAAGGCTGGCGGGGGGTTTGGTCTTTCTCCATGGTGAGGGAGCTGAGTCGGCTCCCTCCCTTCTGCCTCTGCACCGGGCGGGTCTGCGCGTCCCCCCGCTGTCCTTCGGTTGTTTCTCCTCACGCAGTGACTCAGGAAGCCCCACAATAAACCATTTTATCCTCTCCATACGTTTGAAACTTTTCCTCCACAACATCCTCACCTTTTGGATCTGCGTTAGTCAAGTCACCTGAAGCATTACAGTTACACTTTAAAAGATGATTCAAAAATTGGAGCTTAAGTCCATCCATATTCAATAATTTCTGCAGGGGGATTCACTAATGTTTATGTTTCATACTCATTTTTATTGCTGACAACCTTTTCTGAAACATTTTTCCTTTAGGTCATCACTGTTCTCCATAAATTTTAATCCTATACCTTCCACTGGACATTAATATAATGCGCTTGGTAATAAGCAAAAATACTATTTGGACCTTGCCATTACAGGATTTATTATTTTCATTGATTATTTTTGTTATATGGAAAAAAATAGTGAATGGTGTACTTAATGGTGCTAAGTCTTTCCTGGCTACTTATAGTCCTCTGATTTTACCCAGTTACTTCTAAAATGAAAACACTTCCTGCTGACTACATATGGCATATTGGAGCTGACTGAATGAAGAATTTCCTTAATAACTTTTGATGTGCCAATTCACTTACAGACAGCCAAAAACTCCCAACTTTTTTATATGTGTTTTGGTGCAAAGCAAACAAAATAGGTTTTCCATCTCTTTGTCTGGTGAACTAAACTGGTACCTTGCAAACAGTGGCGAAAGCAATCAGAGCTAAGGTGGAGACAGAAATTTAAGCATGACCGATTGCCTGGAGGATAAATGATCTGGCTGTCTGAAAAGCCAGTCGCAGCAGAGTTGATAGGCTGAAATTAGTGTCACTTGCTCAAGTCTCTTGTTTCTATCAAAAGTTTTGGAGAAATCAACTCTGTTCTTTAGACTATTAAGTTCTGTCAAGCAAGCATTTCTGGTGGAATATTTTATGTCTTATAATGTTTATTTTGAAATCTACATATTCAAAACAACACTTTTGATCATAATTAAAAATGCATTAACAAAAAAAACCAAAAACTTGCTAAAGCACTGAAGGATACAATCAAGAATAGAACATTTTTAAAGCTCCTTATTGGTAAGACAAAAAAACATCTAGAAACAGAAAATGCAAAGTGAGGGAATTCTGTTTTAACCTGCTGTTGTGCTTCTCATTGCTGTTGCTTCTGTTTTCATGTCTGTTAAAGATCTGCTTTGCAATTACAATCCTTGTGAAGTGAAAGAGTCGAAAGTGTATATATTATAGATAAACTAAAATAATTTGAAAGCATTGAGTTGTATTCCTGAGTCATTTAAATCATTATTTATCTTCTTATTTTAATTCTTTCATCTTTTACTGCTTCTGTTCCTAGCTACCTTTTCTACATTTGCTATTACTTTTTTAATTGTCACCTCAAACCTGAAGAATCTGAGTTTTGTGTGTGCTGTCCTGCACACAATCAAAGGAGAAAAATGAAGCTGTACATAACCAGAATTTTGATGAAATAAGTTAGATCCCAACAGTATGTGTCAACAAAATAGTTTCTGGGTCTGTCATAAGGTTATCCTGAAATGTGATTTCTAATACTGTTTTGTCAGTGATAAGCATCTTACTCTTCAGTTACTCATTTGTCTTCAAGAAATTATCCAGTTTCTGCAGTAGAATATTACAGTCAATTGAGAAGCTAGATGAACACTATATTTAATTACATTAAATCAGAATGTGATTTTAATGTTCTAGTAAGTATATACAGTATGTTCTTGTGTTACTTGAGGTAATCATGAAATGTGCTTCAATTTATATGTATCATAGTAGCAAATAAATATCTCTGCAGAGGAAAAAGTAAAGTAAGAATTCTGCTCATGGTATGACTTTCAGTAAATCATGTTCAAAGCTTTCACTATTAAATGAAAATTCATAAATAACAGCATGGCAGCCTTATCATTCTTGATCTCATGTATTGAAAGGTAGGATTGCTAAGAATCTACAGGTAACTGGTGCCCTTGCTCATAACAAGTTCAGGAATTCTTGAAAGCCCCCAAAACAACTGAAATGCTAATCCAACCACAAATAATGAAAACTTTCCATTCAATTCAGAAAGATCAGAACTTCGCCTTTCCTTTAGAAAACTGGCCTCAAGCTTTTTTATTATTATTTTTATTTTTTATTTTTTTTCTTTCAAATTTTTGGAGCCAGTTGAAAATGCTGGGCAATGTTTTCAAATGTGTTTTTAAACACGTCTGTTGCAATAATAGTTAAGTCCATAGGCAATATTGAAAATGCTACCTGTCCAACTTTACTTTGTTCCAATGTCTTGTAATACAATAGCAGGAAGATTGTGCTACAATCAGGCTCTCGCAATCATAGAAGTGGTTTCTGTATGTTTGTGAAGTTAAGCATGAGACATTTCATAGGCTGCTGATACAATGTTAAATGTGAAGTATATACTCAGATTATAAATAATGCAGCTCTCAAAAAGGGTCAGCTTTCATTTTGTTTGAGATCTACTGTAAAAGAGCAGAATAATCAAAACTGTTTCTATATGCTTCCATAGCTAGAGCCCGTTTCTGCTCCTTTTACTCTTGCTTTTGACAGCAGCACTTGATTTTGCAGTAGATTTTTATGGACATAAGCCAAATTCTGACAGTTATGGGCCACAGATCATTTGTAGTACATCTGAAATTATATGTTAAAAGTTAGAGTTAATAGGCTAATAGAGGTTAAAAATTCAGATTTATTAAAATGACTAAGCTGATGACTGTATAAGTATTTAATAATTTCTAGTGATTTCCAAGAAAGCATTTTGACTAATCGCGTCTTTATAAACATTGTTCATGTGCGATGAATCAATAAGGAATCATGATTCTCATTACAAAGTGCTGTGTTTTAATGATTTTCCTTGTCTAAAGGCCAGTCAGATCCATGAGTTTTTATTATCACTGCTGGCAAGCCTGAAATGCAAAGGCCAGAATTAGAGAGTGTGTTGAAATAAGTATATGAGAAGTATTAAGATAAGTAATTCTTCATTCTTTGTATTATATTACTGTTCTGTATAATTTAAGCTCACGTATTTTATGTGGAAATAATAATAATAATAATAAACATACGTATAATGGGTATTTAATGGTTATGTTATGGTAATTTAAGAAATAAGATTTGAAGAGAAAAGATAGTTGCTTTTATTAAACCAAATGCTATAGGGTAGGGATTGATATGTCATTAGATAGCAATGAAACACTTTCAGATATTACAGCTGGTATTTCAGCAGCTGTCTCACAGTGCAGAATCACAACTGACTTGAAGAAGCCAGCTTCAAATATCTCATTGATGAAGTAGTGGGTGAAGAAACTCATTCTGGGCAGGAGACAGTTTTCTCCTATATTGACAGGGTAGGAGAAAGAAATGGGAGATGATCCAGGAAACAGCAAAAGACTGAATATGAGCAGGGGCGTGAGGAAGGCCTCCGTTATTGTGATTCTGGAGACATCTCTGCTTGTGGCAATTCCATGGTTCAGCAATTCTAAAAAACTCTGAAAATCTCCAAGTTTTCCTGTAAAGAAGGTGTTGATATGATATATGATATATGGACTCTCTCAGAAAGGAATGGTTCTTGTGCCTCCTGGCTACTTCAAAACTTAAGGAGGTTTTGAGCATTAAGAAGACAGACGGTAATAGCATATGAAGAGTTATTGTAGTTGGTGTAAATTTTGGAACCTGACCCAAAGCTGTTTGAAGTTAATGTTAGCCTTTCTATTGATTTCAAAGTTTTTCTATCCATTGAATCATTAGAGATACTGCAAATTAGACTTTTGTTTGCCAGTATTAAATCTGCTTCTTGCCTTGAAATTACGCATTTTTCTTTTCTAAATTTAATACACTCATTAAGTATGTTTGCACTGTGGCTGTGTTCTTAGCTAATTTGCTTAGCAATAGGATTTTATTTTCTAATGAGGCAACTTTCTGTAGAAATGAACAGTAATGGATATTTGTTATCTCTTTGCATAGTAGTTGTTCTATATTTTAAATTAAATGTTCCATAGCTCAAAGAATGTTGGAATTTTTTATTTTAACATCTCACCTGTCTGACTAGCTCTAGAGGTTTGTGCGTTCTTCACTGATGCTTAAAGGTTTAGGCTGGCTAAGAAGGCTACTGCAAAAGTAATTTAACTTATATATTTTCCTACTGAGTTGATGTATTAGTATAACACATATCCTTGGACTGAGATAACGAAAGGAAACCCCAACATTTTAGAAGCATGGGATCTTTTTTATTACAAACGCAGGAATAAAGATAGGAATATCTGTATAACAGAATAAAACCAAAAAATGCAATGTTCGTACATACAAGGTAATGAAGATGGCATAACTGAAGTGTTAAAAATTTTTACATGCTTGTACTTAATATCACAGCATTTTTTCTGTGTACGTTTATTGTGTGTGAATTTTGTTAAGTGTGCTTCAGATGTAGACAACAGCAGATGGGAACCTAGGCATATATTTTCAAGAAAGTCATTAAAAGAGCTTATTAAAAGGTGCAGTTGTGTGAGCACAGATAAATAGAATTATTTCTACAAGAGCTATTTAAGTATTGCCTGTAAAATAGTAAAGTGTTTCTTGCTCTGTTATTTTCATTAACTGATGCAATTGCTTTCCTATGATATACACTAAACCCTGAGAATTATTTTCTGAAGTAGAATTCTTTATGAACTTTTTTTTTTTTTTTTTAAATCCAAGTTCTTCAGTTTCAGGAATGAATGTCTAACTATGGTTATTATGCAGGCATCATTGTCTTCACTGTGAAAATCTGTGAAGTAGAATACTTTCGTGTTTAGCAATGCAACAGAGAACAAAAAAGCCAGTCTCCACCTCA